CGCGGCCGGCCCGGAGCGCGCGGGCTGGACGGGCGGGGGGCCCCATGGGCCGGGGTTAGCCCAGCGGCGGCGGCGGCGGGGGCGATGCGGGCGGCAGGATGCCGCGGCTCCCGGTGAAGAAGCTCCGGAAGCAGCTGAAGCTGCTGCTGCTGCTGGCGCTGCTCACCTCGGCCGCCTGGTTCACCTACCTGCACATCAGCCTGGTGCGCCAGGGCCGCGCCCTGCGCCTCCCGTTCGCCTAYGGCAAAGGTAACGGGGTGTGGGGGKGTCCCGGCAGCCCTCGGAGCGGGGCCTCGGGGGGCTCTGGGGGTCCCCAGGGGGATGGCGGGTCCCCTTGGGGTGCCGGAACAGTTGGGGTTGGGGTCCCCAGGGGGTGTCGGGGCTTCCCCCCGGCACTCAAAACACCTGGGKTTTGGGGGTCCCCGAGGGGTTTGCGGGTCCCCCGCCACGCTGGGGCCCCAGAACCCCCCCTCGGGGTGGGGCCCCCCACCTTTCGCAGCGCTGATTTTCTGTCCCGCATCACCCGCGTGGGTTTGGGGCGAGCGGGACCCTTCCGTGGACTCCGCTCCCCGGCGCTGGACCTTCGGGAGAAGGGAACACCCGGAGGGGCCCCTAAACCGGCCGGGGGGTTCATTGTCCCCTCTYGAGCCGCTCCGTCCTCATTTTTCCGCCCGCTGCCTTGGCCGCGATGACAAAGAGGCCATTTACAGCCGCTCGCGGCTGCTGGAAGAGGCAATCCTTCTTTGCCATCCCTTCCCGACGTTCCCGTCCTTTCCCGACCCTTCCCTTCCCATCCCAACACTTTCTCAGCCTGTGCCTCTCCGCTGTAAAAAAAAAAAACAAAACAACATTCCTTTCTTCTCCCGCCCTCGGGATGGATTCCGGGATGCTCCGGAGGGACAGGTGCCCTAAGGCTCTGCTCGCTCCCGGTTTTCCCGTGGCATCCCTCCGTGGGCTGCCCCGGGGGGACACAAAGCCACCCGGAATATTTGCCGGGTGAAACTTGAGCCGTGGCGTTCCTGSTGGGACTGACCTCGCCCGGCGCGTTTTGTCCTAAAAAATGAGAAGGGGCCGGGATTTGGTGCTTATTGAGGGAGGAAAAGGCTTTCCCGAGAGCGGTCCCGGAGGCTGGCAAAGCCTCTCGGCTGGAAAACCCAAAGTTTCCGAGCGGAGCAGCAGCATGATCCTGCAAATTTTTGGGCCTTACGGTAAAATCGGGATAATGCGAATGAGCGAGGCAGGAAATGAGGCTGCCGAGGGAAGGGGGGGCACCGGGGGCTGCCGGCTCCCGGYTCCCTGCGGGATCCTCCGCGGTGGGAAAGCCACAGGATTCCCGGGGGGATTGTCCCTGTGTCCCCACCATTATCCCGAGGTGCTTCCCCATGGCCCCGCCGTTACCCCGGAGCTCGGGACGGCCATGTCTGGCCTCGGGCWGGGGGGAAAGGCTGTGGGATCGCTGTTCCTGTGGATAACTGGCCGRGAAATCCACGGATCRGGGTCCCTCCGGGTGCTGGGGTTCRGYRGTGTGAGRGYGAGCCRAGGTTTTCCTGCGGGAGGGTGCACAGGATGTTTCTGGGTGCCCATCCCTGCTCTCCCTACGTGCCCTGCATCCCTGCATCTCCCTACCTCCCAAAGGAAGCCATAGGATTTGCTGTGGAATTTARGGGATGCCCAGCCCCACTCTGGGTCCCGGTGAGGCTGAGTGGGAGCAAGGGGTGCTGGGCTTTGGTGGAAAGCCAGGGAGCGCTTTTGTTGGAAAAATATTAATTGTAGTTTAAAAAAAACAAAACCAACCAAAATAGTTCATTGGAAATAAACCATATTAAGGAAAAACTTGGTGCAAAGGTTTGGGGGAAGAGTGTTTGGAGTTTGGAGATGACTTTTGGATTTGGCCACCATGAGCCAGGACCCATCTGTCCATGCCAGGGGTGCTGCCTGGTTAATTAACAAGGAAAAAGGTTAATTGCTCATTAAACAGTRTGTCAGCAAGCAGCTGGACACTCTGGAGGCTGCAGGTGCAGGGCAGGAGGATTTTAGGTACTTTTGGGGGGTGCCAAGTGGGGAACRCCCTGCCAAGTGGGGTTGGGAGCACAGCTGGATTATCCCGGGGGTCCCCACGTCCCCTTGGCYCAGCCAGCGGTGACACCTGGAGCTGGAGCATCCAGGGGCTGTGCTGGGAGCTGTGCCGGTCCCTGATAAACCACCCCCCTTTTCCTGATCTTCTCCAAGTAGATAATTACCCTTCTCTGCCTAATTGAACACGCAGATTCCTCACTGGAAATAATGAGGCCATTACGGCGCTCTCCCGGCTGGAAACCGCGCYGAGGCAATGGGGTGGAAACACGGATGCGCCAGGTGGAAAAGGGGAAAAAAAAAGGGATGAAAATCCCAAAAAGATGAGGGRGAAAGCGATAACAAAACCCTGAAGTGGCTCACAGTGGGGTGTGGGGCTGGGGGTTTGCTGGGATTTAGCATGGAGGGTGTTGGCGGTGCTGGAGTGAGGTTTTGGGAGGATTTTGGGGATTGGGGGAGCACAGCATAGGTGCTTAAGGGTGCTAAAATTTGTGGGTGAAACGGGGCTCTCTCTGCCTGTTGGATGTGGTGTGGCCTGGGTCACCCCAATGCCTGGTCTAGAGGGTCTCAAAACCTGTGGATGCCAATGGGATCAATGGGATGGATGCTCTGTGCCTGGTCCTTTTGAGGATCTCACCCGCAGGGAGAGCGGGAGGGAGCARGTTTGGGATAACGTGCCCCTCCAGGCAGATCCCTTGGTTTTAATTGGGAGGCTGGATCCCAATTTTAATTGTGCCCTGCCTTGGGGTTCATCCTTTTTGTCAAGGATGCCAGYGGCGGGGGGAAGAGGATGAGAAGAACTCTTTGAAGATGAAGRGCAGTGGGATTTGCGGGCGGTGCGGGAGCTGCTTTTCCTTCTCCTGGCATCACTGCTGTCTCCTGTCCCTGCTGGGAAAGGCTGGTTTYCCTGGATGAACCCTCCTTGGCATGGGGTTCTGGTGCCAGGGAAAGCCATCCCTGCTCCTGAAAAGGTTTTGGGCTGGTTTGGGTGTTTTGACCCTTTTTCTACGACTCTTTTTCCATATGGGAAAGCTCCACCAGGCTGTCCCAGGCTCCATGTCCTGCTCCTCTCGGGTACCCAGTGGGAGAAATKTGGCACCTTCCAGTTTAGGATTATTCAAAGGGAAAAATTTGGCTCCTCAGAGGCACGATTGGCTTTGAGCCACCCCAGGTGGATGGCATCTGTCCCCAGCCTGGCTATGACCTGGCACCTCAAGGGTCCCCAAAACTGTCCCCTGAAGCCTGGGGAAGGCTTTTCCCAAGCACCAAGAACTTTTTGTGTTGATRTTTGGGAATTTTATCCTTCCATCCTGTACCCCCCATCCCTTCCCTGTGCTGTGCCTGCGGCTGGGCCTCTCCAGAGCTGCTCCTTGGGAAGGATGAGTGACCCTTGGGGTGACAGTGGCCTTGGCACYGGCAGGGATTTTGGCTGGATGAGGAGCCAGCCGTTGGGAAAGGCTGGAAAACCGGCACTGCGGAGCTCAGAGGCTGGAATGTTCTTGGCTGCACCCTGAAATTCCCAGCATTTCACAGCGAACTTCTCCAGAGGCTGCATCCCAGGAGGCAAAATCTTGGTGCTGAGGGCTRTGAGCGAGCATCATCCCTTTTGGGGTGGAGCAGGGTCTCGTTTGGGGCTGGGGAAATGGGAAAAATCTGGGGGCTGTCCAATCCCAGGAGAGATCTGGCATGCTGGTTGAAGCATGGAAATGTGGGAGCTGCCTCTCCTGGTGGGTGTTTGTCAGCTCGAGTGGTCTCATGGCAGCTCCATCGCCAGCCACAGCGATCCTGCATCGATTTCCTTGGAAAGCAGCAGGGAAGGGATGGGGGACGCAGGAAAAATCCGCCTCGCTCTTCCAGTGCCCTCAGCAAGGAGCAGGGACAGCTCCAGCTCCAGCAGTGCCCCAGGGGGTGTCTGGGGGCTGGCCCTGTGTCCCCACAGTGGTCACAAACCCTGTTGCCCTCGGCCCTGCCGGTGTCACCAGCTGTCACCCAGCCCATGCCACCAGCCAGTGCCCGCGGATTGTGGCCGGGATTTTTGTCCCGTGTTTTTGTGGCACTCACAGGGGGATTTGTGGCATCGATTCCTCGCTGGCTAATTATTATAATCGCTTAACATCTCGTTAGGAGGCTCGTGCAGGAAGAATTTGGGAAYGGAACCTCTGGGTTTAACGGAGGCRCCGCCGCCACCTCGTCYGCAGCTGTGTCGGRGTTTAAATGTCACCTCCCTCCCTCCCTCATCGTCGCAGGGCTTGGAAAAGGGCCAGGAGAAACCCCGGCAGGGAAGAAAGGGGCTGTGTTTGGAGCTGGGGAGGAAGAGGCGGGAGGTGGGATGTGAAAGGCTCTCTGTGCATCCCGAGTTATGGGATAATGGGATTACGGGAGATGCTTCTCCCATGGGAGGCGTCGCTCTGTGGGTGCYCGGTATCCACAGGCTCCCCCCGGGATGAGGATCCTGGCTCCCTGTTGGAGGCTGCTGGAACTCAGAGCTGGCTTTATGCTGCTCCCAAAGCATCGGTGTTGCTCCAGGGATGAGCTTGTGGTGCTTCCACCCCACCCTGWGGGTCCCTGCTTGTCCTCAGACCTTCCCCCATCCCTCCCTGGTCCTCGAGGGAGGCTGGATGAAGGAATGGATGCAGCAGTGGAATTCTGGGAGGAACTGGAATCCTCCTTCCTCCCGGTGCTGCCTTCTCCCTCCTCTCCTACCCCTCTCCTCCCATGGGGCTGAGGTTGGGACCCAAAGGAGTTGGGATTTTTGGGAGCGGTGGTGCCCGCTGGCATGTGGCACTACCCTCCCCCATGTCCCCTTGTCCCCATTCCCAGCTCCCCACAGCCTGGCCTTTCCTCTCYGATATTTCAGTTGCCAGGGAATCGCACTGAAGCCTTTCCTGGAGCTTTGCTGGCGCTTCTGCTCCTCCCTGGATGTGGGAGCCCCTCGGAAGCGATGGGGACCACAGCTCCGAGGATGAGCCTGCCCAGCTTGGATTAAATCCCCGTTTTTCCTCACTTTGCTCTGGTTTTTGTCAAACAATCTCCCACCAGCCCTCTGGGCGCAGTCGTGGCACGGAGCAGAGCGCAGCGGGGTGGATCCAGCCGGCCCCAGGTTCATCTGTTGCAAATCCCACGGGATCCCGGAGAGATCCAGGAGAGGCTCCCTGAGCGGGTACCACAGAGCCAGGCACTGCATCCCTCCCCTGGGCAGGACCCTTGGGAGCACTGAGCTCCTCGAGGAACGCACGGATCAGCGTGGGGGGAGCGATGCTGGCTCCGGTCCCGCCGCCCCCATCACCCTGCGGGCCCAGGGAAGAGGGATGGATGCGGGAACRGAGCTGGGTGAGGGGAGGGGGAGCTGCCAGCAGCGAGCTGGGGCTGCCAGGGGCTGAAGAATGGCYGAGAGCAGAAGAAGGGGCTTTAGAGCTTAATTTCCTGTCCCCGCCGCCGTGGGGACGGGATTTGTGCCGCCATCTCCAAGGAGACGCCGGCTGCGCGGCCGCTGGAATACTAATGGCGTGGGAGGCAGGGGGCTCCGGGCACCCCGAGCCCCTCCCTGGCCGTGGCAGCCACCAAGGCCGTTCCATTTTGGGGAGAGGGAGYCCCTGGGGCTCGCTGGTGGAGGGACAGGGACATCGGTGACCCCTTTCCCGCAATTCACGTGGCGGAGGGTCACTGTTTAGTGCACCCAGGCTGGTTTTTGGGGACCCACAGGTGTTTGTGGAGGTGGCTCTCAGGCACCCACCTCTCCCAGCGCTGCCTCGAGCTTCCCTTGGCTCTGTGCACGGGCAGTGGTGGCCGAACTGCAAAGTGCCCCCAGGATTTGGGGCGGCAGAAGAAGGGGATGTGCCCCTCTCCCCAAAATATTTTCCAAGTTGGGTTGGAACAAAGTGGGGGTGGTTTAAAGGGCCAGCACCTCCCCTTCCCGCTGCTGGCGTGTCCCCAAAAGGGGTGCTGGGATGGGGGGCGGTGGCCTGACCCCTCCCTGCTCCCGGCAGATGGAGAGAGGCCGGGGGAGGTGACGGATCCCGGGAGGCGGCCGGCRGCAGCACCGGTGTCAGCACGGCGCAGGAAAGCTGAAGATTCCAGCGAGAGCCACGAGGAGGATCCCATGGTAACGGGGATGGGAATGGCCTGGGAAGGTCACTGGTCTGCGGGGTCCCAAGGATTTGGGGGGTCTGACCGCTGATCCTGCCCAGCAGCCCTCACAGTGGGGCCAGCACCCCAATATCCCACTGAAACCAGGTGGGATACCCCATATGATATCCTACTCTGTGTGCCCTCGCCCTGGCACGGCTGTCCTGAGGAGGATCCCATTTCCTCTGCTCTGAAATTCCTGCTTTTCTGGGCAAAGCCACYTTCTCCTGCGTTCTCCGCTCTGTCCTGGGCTGGGGAGCCACTCCAGGCAGGAGGTGCTCGGAATCAGAGCCATGGGGACGCCCTGCTGTCCCCTGTCCACCCTGTTGTCACCAAGAGGCCTTGGAGCAGGGCAGGATGGTGGGAGGGGGAAGCCACCACGGGGTATTCCCTGCCCCGTGTCACTCCTCAGAAAAAAAGGACTGAGGGACAAAGAAGGGACCCGGGGTGCTCAGAGGAGGCGTGGGCTGGTGCTGGGTGAGCACAGAGGGTGAGCAGGAATCKCATCTCTGCTTTTTCTGGGAGGAGAGCCCATCTTCCCGGCGAGCACGGCACAGAACCCTCCCCTGTGAGGTCCTCCAAGGGCGCTGCACCCTCCTCCCAGGCRCTAATGAGTTTGTTTAGGCAGTTTGCTAATTGCTTCGGTGGCACTGCGCATCCTAACGGGCTGTGTCTGCTTTGGGGGGGTTGAGGAAGAGAGGGATGCTCTAGGGGGGCTCCAGGAGTACCTGGCTCTTCTTTGTCACCTCTCAGTGATCCAGAGGCTCGCTTAATCCCTCTAAATTACCAGATAMAAGCAATAGGATTAACCTAATCCCCTTTAAAGGGAGAAGGGGCGTGGAGAGACGTCCCGCTTACTTTGCTCAGGGCATGGAGATCACCTCCTTTCTTCCAGGGACAGAGCCCAAAATTCCAGTGTCCCCCAAGACTGGCCAAGCGTTTTGGATGAACAGAAAACTCGCTGTTTTGGGGGAGTTTTGGCAGAAGAAGGGAAGCAAGTTTAGCTGGAACATTTTGGAACCACTGCCTGCGACACCTTGCCAGTATTTTTGTGCCTCTTCCCRCTTTCCTTTGAAATCTTTCACCTCRGTTTGGCAGCTCAGAATGAGGTGTTTGGATCAGGGAATGCTGGAATGGTTTGGGTTGGAAGGGGCCTTAAAGCACATCCAGTGCCACTCCTGCCATGGGCAGGGTCACCTTCCACTGTCCCAGGGTGCTCCAAACCCTGCCCACCCTGGCCTTGGACACTGCCAGGGGTGRGGCAGCCACAGATTTTTTGGGCAGCCTGTGCCAGGCCCTCCYCACAGACACAGGGAGACATCCCAGAGGCCACAGGATGTGCTGATCCGGGTCACTCATCCCACCTCTCCCTCTGTTCCTCGGCAGAACGACGGGCAGGACGTGGACGACTGGTTCTCCAGAGGTCAGAGTCCCAGCCGAGCCAGCACCCGCCCCAAACTCAACCTGACCAAGCAGGCCTTGCCCTGGAACGAGCAGGTGGGCAGGGGTCAGCCTGGGGGGATGCAGGAGGAGCAGGAGCCCCGCTCAGCTCCCTCTCTTGCCCCGCAGTACAAAGGGAAGGTGAACCTGCACGTCTTCGAGGACTGGTGCGGCGGGGCCGTGCGGCACCTGAGGAAGAACCTCCACTTCCCGCTCTTTCCCCACGTGAGTCCTGGGATGTGGGCCCAGGGGTTGGAGCCTGGGGTTCTGTGGGTCTCCACTGGGCCTTCAGACCTTGGCTGGCAGGGTTGGGTTTGGTTGGGTTTGGTTTGGTTGGGTTTGGTTTGGTTGGGTTTGGTTTGGTTGGGTTTGGTTTGGTTGGGTTGGGTTTGGTTGGGTTTGGTTGGGTTTGGTTGGGTTGGGTTGGGTTTGGTTGGGTTTGGTTGGGTTTGGTTCGGTTGGGTTTGGCTGGGTTGGGTTGGGTTTGGCTGGGTTGGGTTGGGTTTGGCTGGGTTGGGTTGGGTTTGGTTGGGTTTGGTTGGGTTTGGTTGGGTTGGGTTTGGTTGGGTTTGGTTGGGTTGGGTTTGGTTGGGTTTGGTTGGGTTGTGTTTGGTTGGGTTTGGTTTTGTTGGGTTTGGTTCGGTTTGGTTGGGTCGGGTTTGGTTGGGTTTGGTTTGGTTGGGTTCGGTTTGGTTCAGTTCGGTTCGGTTGGGTTTGGTTTGGTGGTTTGGAAGGAGAGGCGGGTGCTGGTGGGAGCCCTGGGTGCTGCTGGGATGACAGGAAGGAGGTGACTCCGTGCCCCCCTCCTCGGCAGACCCGCACCACGGTGAAGAAGCTGGCTGTCTCTCCCAAGTGGAAGAACTACGGGCTGAGGATTTTTGGCTACATCCATCCCTTCAAGGATGGTGAGTGACAGAGTGTGGCCCTGCTGGGTCCTTCCTTGTCCTGGCCACAGCGGGACGGTCCCCAAATCCTGGCTCCCAGGCAGGAGGGTCCTTCTGRAGCTGAGATCTTTTCCCCATGAAGGAGGCAAAGCTCTGATCCCGTCCAGGATGGAGCTGTGACAYGGGGCCTGGGGTGGCTCTGTTCCCGTTACCCCCGCTCACCACAAGGCACCRGGGCTGAGCCCATGTCACCCCGTGTCCCTCCCTCCATGGTGACCCTCTCCTCGGCTCTCCGCAGGGGATTTCCAGTTTTCCGTGGCGTCGGATGACAACTCAGAGTTCTGGCTCAGCTCCGATGACAGCCCCGCCAATTCCCAGCTGGCCGCCTTCGTGGGCAAGGTACGGCGTCACCTCTCCGCCTGTCCCTGCTGTAGGGGGAAGGATCTGTGTGGGATCCACGTGTGGCTTCTCCTTTGGGAATTCCGGGCTGTTTCAGCCTCCTCCCATTGATCCCTTGATCCCATCTTGGTTGGAGCTGCCGAAGACCAGGAGATTCCATATTTATTCCTGGGTTTTCTTGGGGTTGGTTGCTCTCAYGGAAAGCTTTGCTGTGGCGTCCTCCTCCTCTCCTCAAAACTTTTGGCAAGGTGTCTGAYGCTCCTCCTTCCTCTCTCCCCAGCTGGGCACCGAGTGGACGGCGCCGGGGGAGTTCACCAARTTCAGCTCCCAAGTGTCCAAGCCCCTGCGGTGAGTGTGTCCATGGGATTGGATTTAGGGACAGGGAATTGCTGGCCCTGACCTCCCTGAGCTGCAGCCCCTTCCCAAAAGGTGTCTGGGGCTAGGCTGGGTCCCAGCTCCGTGGTTTTCAGATGACGAGGTTGGGGACGGGAATGTACCGATGTGCTCCGATCCCACAAAACCCCTCAGGTGGGATGGGGCAGCACACACCCTCCTTGGCTCCCTGTCACTGCGCCCCAGGAAGGTTTTCCCGCCCGTGGGCAGGACAGGGAGGCTCTGCCAGGCTGGCCCAGGGCTCTGACAGCGGTGTCCCCTCCCCTGCAGCCTCATGTCCTCCCGACGCTACTACTTCGAGCTGCTCCACAAGCAGGACGACCGGGGCTCRGACCACGTGGAGGTCGGGGTAAGTGGACGCCCCTCCCCACGCCAGGCTCCTCCCAGGGCTGGAGAGCCGGTGCCAGGGCTTTTTCCAGCATGTGTGCAAGTGCTTCATCCTGGAGCAAAGCCACCCTTTCCCCCTGCCACAGCTGCCAGGGGGACAAGTCGGTGTCGCCGTTCCCCTGGCTGTTCCAGGAGTGCTGTCTCCTTTGCTGCTGGGCTCTGGGGAGGTGGAGAYGCTGCCATCCCATTCCCTTGGGCAAGGAGAGCCTGGGGCAGGCGGGTCCCAGCACGCTGGCTGTCCTGGGAGAGGGGTGGCTGAGGCCGTGGAGCGCTTCTTTCCCTGTTTTCTCCTTCTCCCCCTTGGAATCAGCGCGGGTTTCGAATCCCAACTTGCCTGCCTTGGCAGCAGAGCCKGGAGCGTGTGTCAGGGGCTCGGGCTGGCTCAGGGGAAGATGTTGGCTCGTTAGCAAAGGTTTCCTTTCTCTGAGAGCTCGTTAATCACAGGAGTCAGATCGGTGCCAGCAACACCCCTTCCTCGCTGGCTGCCTCCCTCCCTCCATCCCGATAAGATCTGTGTTTCTGCAGGCAAAAACAAATAGTGGGGAAAGCAAATGGACAGAGTGGGGGGAGGATTGGAGGGGKGATGCTTCTGAGAGGGGATGTTTTTGCTGGAGGGGAGAGAGGGAGCAGAAATCTTTCAGCCGTGCAGAGAAAACCTCTCAGCTGTGCAGGGAGAGACAACAACAACAGCATCCACAACAAAAGCGGGACCCTGATGTGCCTGGCCCTGGGGGTGTTGTAGGGCTTGTCCCAACAAAGGCTCCAGACTAAACGCTGGTGTTAAATCAGGGCAGGCAGCTCTGGAGACCCTCTTAAATCACGGCAAAAAAACTTCTTGATGAAGCATTGGAGCAAGGAAAGGAGCCCTTTGTCTGCTGTGACAGTCCCAAAGGGGAGCAGCGTGGCCTGTATCCCACCCACCCTCTGGTCCTGCAGGGATCCTGCTAATCCCAAACCCTGTTGGATAACAGGAAATGGGGCAGGATCAGCCCCCCTGTCCTGCTCCTCTTCTGCAGGGTAGTTTCTGGGAGCTGCAGGCAGGGAGGGCCCATCCTGAGGTGCCGGGRTTGGGGAGCTGCATCCCGACCCTGTGCCATCCCCCTGCTCATTCCCCACCTCCTTTCATTCTTTTTTTTTTTCCCCAGTGGCGAGTTTTCCTGCCCAGCCTGAAGTTTGAGGTGATTGACTCCTCCTACATCTCTCTGTACACAGGTGAGGGCCAGGCTCCTCCTGTGGCATCTCCAGGGGCTGGATGATGCTGGGAGAGGTGGGGAGGGAAGCAGAGCCTAGGAAGGTGGATCTTGGGGGTAAATCTGAGCCTGTGARCCCCCCTGCTGGGCTTCTGCTGGGGTAAGGAGGGATGAGAGGGCTACAGTGGGTGGGAGTGATGCTGAGATACCGCTAAAAATGGGATGAGGAGGCAACACACCCCTGGGAGCGCTGCTCTGTCCCTGCTCCAGCCCCGTCCCAGACCCCGCTGGCTGCTGGCCCTGAGTTACGAGGAGCTGTCGTGGCAGCAGGGATGGATGGCACGGGGTTTAATTAAATCTATAGATCTTGTGCTGGCTGCCCCTGCCCTGGCAGCGGGAAGGGCTGTGATGGATGGGCYCTGCCCCGGCGCTCCGCTCCGAGCGGGAGCAGCCATCACTTCTCTCTGGAAGGTGTCGATAAGGGGAGGGGGCGGGCAGGATCGGGGAGGAGAGGTGCTGATGCAGGTGCCTGTGAGATGGATGAC